GTAATTTCCTTTAGTTAAAATCAAGTCCTAGTTGAATTGTATTAGAAGTTTATCGAATTGTAATCAAAGTCAAAATATGAATTATAGAATCCTAATTAAAGTCAAAAGAGTTGGGTTGATGGTATAGTTCTTGAAGGAGTTTAAGAAGATCACATATGATCATTGGAATGCATTTAGAAGTCCAAAGAGTGTCAAAAAGCCAAACAAATTATGCTCCAAATTCTCAGTCGCAACTTGCAATGCATTTTGAATCACCTCAATTGGATATCGGGAGAGAAATTTATGATAGAAATACTGACGATTGCTTAGTTGTTGCTCGCCTGTCGCTAGCTTGACGCTCGAGCGATAGGTCGACATTCAGAATTCTGTTTTGCTTCAAACACATGGTTTTTCAATCCATTTTCACCCCCAAACACTTTTCCTTATATATATCATACCCTATGAACGTACAAATGTGTGTTGGATCAAATTTATTCCATAGGGATCAATTCTTTGATGATCCAAAACATTCTTTGATTCCAAGATTCAACCACCATATTATTTGAGTCATAATTTCATCTAAACTTTGATTTGTTGATTTAGCCATATTGTTTGATATTAAACCACATATCAAAACACACAAGATCTTTTGATCAAACACCAAACCATTTCATCAATCGGAGATAAATCGATACAAGGGATCGGTAGTTGTTGCATAAGCACAAATTCAGGAAGACTAAGGTGAGGTACCGGAGTCGAGATCTAGCGTCACGAGCACGCAGTCCAAGAGGGCTAAGGTATAAACCAGGAGTCAGGATTTGTTTTGAATGAGCACACCTCCAGTAGGATCAATGGAGACTGCAGGAATTGAAGTCAGAAGTTCTACTGGGTAGAAGAGTCTGGACCGTACTGTAAGTTTGCTTCGATTTATAGTGGATTATATTGACTGATAAAGTACCCCGAGTTTTTACCCATTTGAGGTTTCTTCATGATCATCTTTGGTGTTCTTTATTGCTTTAATTATTGATTGTGGTATTCAAATTTAGGATAAATTGACTTGTTTGATCTAATCATCTAGAAACAATTAAAAAGTGATTTGTTGCTTTTAATTGTGTAATTCCGCAGGGTCTAAATAATTTAAAACTTTCAAGATTTTTTTTTATTACGAAATCTAGGATGATTGCTAGGATCTCTCTCTCTCTCTCTCAATGGAAATTGTAAATCGATTTTTCATTCTACTTGGTGCGTCTAATGAATCATGAATTAATTGTTGTTGGCAGATGAATAAGGACAAGTTGGATTTTTGACTCTTCTATCCCATCAACAAAGTTGGTCTACACGTCGAATTTACCCTAAAAAATGTGAACATGGCCATTTCCAATTGTGTAGAGTAAGGGGAAACGGATTCATGACTATTTCTATCTCTTCCATGATTTGAAAGGGAAAATAAAAACAAAAAAGTGAAGAAAGAGTACGAGTTAGTGGTACATTTGACATTGAAGCAACTAATGGAGGCACCAAAAGATGTGAAGTTGACAAGTAATTTGTGCCAATTGTATTTCCTCACTTAAGGTTTAAAGATGACGATAAATACTATTTATAATTATTATTAAAGACCTCATAGTTAGGTGGGAAGAAACACTTGGTTCTAAGCATCCCACTAAATTTTGTGGCGAATTGTTGTTCCTGTAGATAAAGGGTTTTCACTTTTTCTAGACGTAGCAAAACTTACCTCTTATGATTTGATAAAGCAAAACAAGATTTAAATTCGTACATTTCATCGGAAAATTTAACAGATCATATACTCTTAATTAAAAATTAAAAATCGATACTTATGTACACCATGTTAAGGGATAGAATCCCACATCGAATAAAGATATAAACATAAACCAACTTATAAAGGATTGTGTTACTCCTTTTAATAAGGTTGATATTTTAAGATGGAACCCCGATTCTTAACATGGCATCAGAGTCCATTAAACTCTAACGAGCAATTCGATCAGGTTAAAACTCCAAAAGTGGGCATACGAATTTCAAGATTGGTCTGCTCAAACGAGCCACCATCTTGCGAGGGCATGTTAAGGGATAGAATCCCATATCGAATAAAGATGTAAGCATAAACCAACTTATAAAGAATTGTATTACCCCTTTTAATAAGGTTGAACTTTTAAGATGGAACCTTAATTCTTAATACACCATTATGTAATCTTTTATATAACGTATATAATTATTTTATTATTATTTACAATTTTATTTACTAAACATGTTATCTTACAATTTTATTTTCTTTAAACATCTTATCAGTATATGATCTAATGTAGATT